CCAAACAAAATTTTACGTCCACGATTACGGGGTAATCGGGAGAAATTCTCCATGTGAGACCCAAAGTTCACACGCGGGACACCACCGAGAGGTGGGAAAACCAACGCCATTACTTAATGGCTCGGAAAACAATACAAATCTCTGTAAAAACTCACGGGGTTATTTTAATCCTAAACACGCTAATCCAAGGGCACGAATAATCCAAGGAATGACTATCACGAACTAAACGCTAAGCCCTTGCGGGAGACTCACTTGGGCACGACTAATTACCAAGCCAGCCAACGCGGAACTGATGTCGGGGTTCAGTACTGCGACACGGGGTTAAAAGACCAATACTCCTAACTAATCTCTCCAGTTTTCCAGAAACTCAAAAGCTACCTGGCAATTCACTGGATATAAGGGTTGCACTTGTTCCAGGTGACCTTCCACCGAAAAACTAAAACGTAACCAATTAATCCCCATAAAATCCATTTTAATTTGGAGCGCCGGCATTTCAGCCGAACTTGATCGATTTCCCGTGAGATTAACAATAAGGTAGACCCCATAAAGAAACCCGATGACTCGATATGTTGGTCCTTCTTCACGATGACTTTACGGGCCCTCAAAAACTCGTAATTAACAGATCTTGCCAAAAAATTCTACTCTACACCCAACCCCAAAATTCCAAAACACTAAAAATTTACTACGCCATAGCGGGAACTCTAAACTCAATTATCATCACGATAATCATATAAATTACCCCACTGAAGTGGGATTGCTCCATATCCAAAAACTCCACCAAAGTGGAATAAACTCTAGTCTCAAAATTCCTTCACCGAAGTGGGAAAACCAAAATTCTTTCTCTCTCTCTCTCTACTCGTTACTCACGGTTCGTCGTATAATGTCGCAGGGGTAGGTTGTTATCAGATCGCTTGGTGTTCCTAACGAACATTCCCACATGTTCGTTACACAGTACTGTCTGATTAGATACAGCTAAGGTCGGGAGAAAGAGTCAAGAACCACCGGTAGTCGCCAGCGCGCAAATTATCTACCGGTACTTGATTTCAGGCCCAGGAAACTTTTCAATTCCATTTAGGAATAGAATAATAGGGAAATGATCTGACCGAGTAGGCAAATCCATGACCTAACACTTCACACCAGGTTAAGAGACAGCCAATTGCAGCTGGCATAATCGATATTACTGGCTTTCTTGTTTTTCCCCAGAAACGTATATTGCCCAGGTCTATCACCTGGCCATCTTCCATTAAGAATTATTAGGTTCTATTCAGTAAGAAATTGTCGCAGTTACCGCCCTCACGTGTCCGACTCCTTGTCCAGCAATAATCTTGTTCTGTAGATGCTATCCGCATCCGTTATCAGGCAGTCCTCTAGAGGAATGGCACAATCTATGCGAGCTTTCAAGTGTCCAACACGAATTATTGGAGTATGAGGGCTGCGAATTGATATGATCTCAAGTACTTCATTTAGAGAACTGAGCAAGGTGTCGATCTTACTTTTATTTTCTGAATCGCTAGAGAAGTAACACAAGATAATTATGAAAACAAGGCCCAGAAAAGTAACTACAGCTGCGAAAATTTCGTACTCGTTCCATATTGCATTATACTTATATACATTTTTGTTAACAGCAAGCAGCAAACCCACCGGTGCATGGCCTTTCTTGTTGTTGTTCTTTGCAGGCGAGTAGATGAGGGAGTATTCCGCAAGTCAGATTGGTGGATGGTCCGAAGGCCTGATGAGCCAAGAAATCTAAGAATCCGAGGAAGTCAGTACCTCTGATATAGGGAGGCAGTTTCCAGTTATTGTTGCTGAATCCGCGGCTATTCCATGCGAGAATGCGAATATTTTGTTCTACGAAGACCGCCTCTTTTGCACCCGTTTGGGACTCACCAGTAGCAGCAAGCGGATGTAGTTGTCACTTGGGGGTTTTTATACTTGGATTGCTATTTGCGCTGAGGCGTATCGGCCAGTTGAGTCGCTAATGTGCGACTCCGTGTGCGAGTTCGTGAGGAGTCAAGAGTGACATTATGCCTCTGGTTGAGTGCTTCTGTGCTTGATGTGTCCACAAAGATATCAGACATTGAGCTCATGAATGCCTTCTGTTTTCTGCCAGTGTTGCGATGTCTGGGCTGGGCGAAAATCAGTGACAAATGGTGACTCCAAAGACTGTCCTGACCGAGACCAATTGCAATGGGTAGAGACCGGGAAAAAGGATGGGATCGGATTGCATGGGATAAAGCACTAAGGTGCACTATGGTGGATTGCGCGGTAGTCAAAAAAAAAGAACCTCTTCCAATGCCATAAAGAAATGATTTTATTAGTAATAAAAAGAGGCTGTCTACAATGATCCCAAGATAAAACCGCAGAGAGGAGAATTCGGAGATTTAGAATTGGAAAGGAATGAAAAGAAAAAACGAAAAATAAGTGGATAACGAATTGGCATTAAATTACAGTTGTTGATTAGATAAAATTGGGGTGGTATGATCACTCAGTCGCGGTGATGCTGCACTCTGATGACCCTTACTAGCAGGAACAAGAACTGCTTTTGATGACCAGTAGTATTGATGGGTGACTTTCTGTGACGATCCGATGATTTACGACGGAAGTTTCACTTGTCCAGTGAAAAGACGGGTAGGAGATTCGACTACCTGGGCCTGCATGACAGAATGACTCCAGGTGGCCACTTTAACGATGAGACCACAATACGTCGTTGGGTCGAGTATCTACAGCTCCGTAACAAATACTACCCTCAAGACAGTGGGTTGAGGAACTAGTGGAGATGAGTCAACTAATCGGTTGGGTTCAAAATAGTGCAGTTGAAATATGCAGATTGCGAATAACCACTGTCCGTGACTTGAGCGAGACCAAGAACTGAATCGGGTAACTGGGTTTGGCAATTGACTCTCAGTGACTTGCTCTTAGTAATTGTCTCTTGCGACTGCGACTGTAGGTATAACTGGCTGACTCTATGACTGACTCTTGATGTCCAGGGGTAGCCCTTATATATCCTTGATTGAACGCCATCTATAATGAGGAATTCTGTAGGGGTGGGTCCATAGCAACCCGATGTCCTTGGATGATTGCCAGATCTGGGCATTCGTATCAATTGATGACCCCTGCGCGCGCCGGGCCGATCCGTGGTCAAAACGGTGGAAAAGTGAGGGTGAGTTAAGGCTTCGCGCGCTACGCGTGATTCACGGAATCGGTCCCTTTTTATGATTCCAGGAATCTCGATTTAGCCCTTCATAATGATGACGCTCGTCCATCGAAGGGAAGTGATAATGGGATGGAAATCGTCATAATTTCTGATCCATTGGATTTTTACAAGCGCACATGTGCATGAAATGATGTCATGACCTCTTGACGTGCGATAAGCCAAAGCATAACCTTGGAGAATTGCGATCCCTTCTTCCAGGTCTGTTATCCGGTGTGCATTAAAACTGGTTCAGTCAGGACTGCTGAGTGCATAGAGTGGAAAATCGGTATTTTACCAATGAGTAGGAACTCGACTGTCAATTCGTTCGTATTACTCATGAAGTATCTCAATTCACACCTGGGTTGAGTGTATTTCGGGGCACGTTCGAGTCTTGCATTTTCCGGTGATTATTTCCCTACTCATTACAACAATGTCCATGGAGGGGCGATTTTAGGCTGATTTTTATAACCGTGCTCACCCTCAAGTGGTTCCGGAGGAGCGCCTTGCAATCGGACTCCCCACATTTAGTGTCAGAGAGCTCTCATAATTTGTGTATTTGATGGGGTTCTTATGGTCGTTGACAGCAAGCCATGGGTGTGATTTTCCTCATTGCATGATCGCAGTTTCCATAGAATCCGGGTTTCTCCATTGGCCAGTTGTACCCTTGTATAGCTACGAAGTCCACTGTTCCCCCTGGCTACCCCAGCAACAATGGCGGCACCCCTGGCACACGCGTCGCCTTGGGTGGTAACAATCTCGATCGTTCCTGCACGCTCCATGGTATTTCTTAAAGATGGAGGTTTTTGTTTATAAACTCCATAAAGAAAACGCGGAGTCGGCGACACCAGGCATCTCTTTGTCGAGACGAAGAGTTGGTTTATTGTGATTTCTGTCCGAAGCTTTCGTTGTCATATTTGTTGGTGTCCGTTGGGTCAAAGCACGGCGAGTGCCTGCAGCTCTGTCAGCTAGACTCTGCATGTATTGGTTTATTCCGATGTCCTCACAATCACCTAATAGTTCTGTTCACGTCTTCACGTTCAGTTTTTCATTGTTGATGAATAGGCTTACTTTTTCAGCTTTGCATGGATACACTTCTGTTTCTGAAAATATCTAATTTTTAACAAATTTTTGTTCTCCACTCGACCTTCTTTTGATAAGTCATTATTTATGTTAGCGCCGAGTCTTCTCAAATTGTTGGTCTTCGTGAAAAATTCTATTTTCCACCTGGGAGCTATGAGTTTTACGAGGATGGGGGGGTCTCTCGTTAGTCGTGGCTTTTGCCAGTATTCGAGGCTGGGAAATCACACACACCCGAGATATTTACTTCAGCGTCCTAACAATTTCTAGCGCTGTGTTCAAGACGGAGGGGGCATTCTCACTCACTTCAGGCACTTTGTATAAAATCAGATTACTAGCGCGATTGGCCTGTCCAATTTTTTCGATTTTCTTTGCGATAATCTTGGATGTCTCACGAGTTTTCTCCAATTTTAATTTGAGCTTATTAAATTTTGATTCTATGGTGAGATGGTTTACGCCCTCCTCTGCTCTCAGCTCGGCTTGGCCTGTTTTTATAATATAATACCTTGACCCATTTATAGACAATGGAATTATCTGCTTATCTCGATAAGCAGCTACTATGTATAGAGTGAATACAGTTCGACTATCTTTAATTTTTTTTAAAACGTATTTTGACTCGTTTTCCAAGGAAAGATTCATACTAATGTTAATTTGATGGAATTTCTGCATCGTTTTATTTAAAAATTTCCTATATACGCAATTAATGAATAGTTGATTTTTTTCAGGAAAACACGGGAAATTTACTCACTTTACAATATAGTAAACACTTCATGACTATGTAACAGCAGTCAGACAATGGCTGTGCATCGTCGGATTGACAAGAGCCAGTTCATATCCAAATTGAGTGCGGCTCCACCTGATGCAAAACACGTCGTGCACTGGTTCAGGAAAGGACTTCGCCTGCATGATAATCCATCATTGAGATGTGGTCTCAATGGGGCTTGTACATTTAGATGTATTTTTGTAATCGACCCTTGGTCGGCAGGGAGTAAAAGTATTGGAATCAATAAGTGGAGGTACGAGTTAGACTTCCATGGCATAATATTCAGTCACACAAATATTCAGTATCTTTCATCATGAACAATTAATGTTAATAGGTTTCTACTCCAGTGCTTAGAAGATTTGGATACTTCATTAAGAAAATTAAACTCTCGCCTCTTCGTAATAAGAGGTCAGCCGACTGATGCATTACCAAAACTCTTCCGTGAATGGGGAACTACTCATTTGACTTTTGAAGAGGATCCAGAACCTTTTGGTCGGGCTCGTGATTACAACATTACAACTTTATGTAAAGAATTGAGGATCTCTGTCGCGTCAATTGCTTCACATACACTCTACAAGTTGGATAAGTGAGTATAATATCTATTTAGTACATGAAACAGTCGATGTCAACTACGCCACCCTGAATTTTTTTGGTTTTTAGAATACTGAATTGGCATGCTCACTGTTAAGTACTACATAAGTACAACCTTTCTCTAAATTTTGACTCCTTTAACATCAATAGTTTGTCTATGACATATGACAAAATCTGAAAACGTTGAAAATCATATCTTGCGAACTAATTGATGGATGTGGATGAATGAAAGAACATTTTCTTCGCTTTTCCATGTACTTTTCGAATAAAAATATGATAGTACCACGAAGATAAATAATAAGCCATTTTTCAAGTTTTTGCTTCCGAATGAAAGCATGGTATTCGTCGGATTTTGCCATTATCTAATTTTGCCTGGAAATGATGTAGGATGGTATGAAACCTGAAGAAATGATATTTTCAGAAAATGTCTGTATGTCCGGGTCTGATAGTTCGGATTTTGGTTTACCACTTTGTGACGGCACTAACCCACTTGAACCTTAAAACTTAAAATATAAACCGTAGACTTATCCATAACTCGATGCGAAACTCAAAACAGCCGGAGTGTTNAGAACCATACGAAAACTTAGCCATAATTGGGGAGATCAAGGGAGAGGTTGCGGAATTAGCTCGACTAGCTCGGAGGTATTCGGAGAGCGGGGTAGGATCGGTCGCTCGGTCTTAGGAAGGATGTCGCGAATTTACCAAAAGATACAGAAAAATCAAAAGGAAGAATCAGAAAGTTAATTAAATAGGGGATGAGAGAATTACTTTTAAATTTACTCCGTGATTTATTCAATTTCTCAATAATACTTCAATACTTCAATAATAAATTAATTTCAATTAAATTCAACAAAATTGAATTCGATTAAATTCCCGAGAGTGAGAGTACGTGAATTGACCTTGAGAGAGAGGTTATCGCGAAGGGAATGGGGGGTCCGAAGTGTCCAGGTCAATGATCTCTCCGCATCGTCCAGAAACTGGAGTGCTGGAGGATTCGAAGGCTATATCAATTCCGATGCCATGATCTCGGCGAATCTCCTCAGAATAATAAATGAGGATTAATAGGCGAGGGACTCAAGTATGCAAATGTCACTTAAGAGTACCATTTTGCCCCATATTCGAGTCCATCCTCCATCAAGAGCGTCGTAGCGTCACAGAAAAATTCCTGGGGCTCGCGCGCTTCAATGTCATGATTTTCGGGGTCTCGTCTTGCAAGAAATTTTAAATTAATCCATTGAAACCTTGGGGGAACTTTACTGAGCTAGAAGAGCACTCATTTGAGGCTTCAATTCGCTCTGGAAAGAGGAAAAATCGCCATGTGCACGACAGCGTCCCCCCACGGCACGTGAGGCGCATGTGTGCACTTGTGGGCCTGGTTTATTCACGTTTTCCCACTAAAAATTGGCACTGGACATTCCCCATACGTTCTCGAGGGTCCTAGTGAACTAATTATGCACTCAGAAGGTGCATTAATTGTTCACAAGACCTCCTGGTGAACGGAGAGGGCACAATGGCGCCATGGAAGGGCATGGGCCATGTGTGGCCTTTTATTGGGTCTCACTGTCCATTTTCACTATCACTTGGATTTCACTGGGGTTTTATCACCCGGGAGAGGTCTAGGGAGCCGAACGAGGGTTTTATGCACTCACTGGTGCATTTATCCACTCGCTCGGAGGAGTTTTGGAGGTTGGGAATGCATCTCGGTGTCACTCTTGTGAACGCCGGTGCACTTTTCCCGGAGGTTATCACTGGGCACACTGGAATAGATGCACTTCTCTCCTCGGGAGAGAGTCCACATGGTAAATAAAAATGTACTTACCATGTTCCTCATGTGGGCCCTCGGCGATGGTCTCCACCAACTCTCTCGATCGTTGTCAATATTCTCAGGGATGTTATCGCAGTGGTTGCTCGGGTCCAACTCTCTCGTAAACTGCGTCTAACCGGCGGAGGTTCTCAGCTGGGTGGCGCGACTGGCACGCCGTCTAGCTGCCGCTGGGGCGGGCTCATGTAACCGAGCACGCGGGGATTTTGATTCAAATGGGTTTTAGACTTATTTTAGGCATTCCGCCGTTAATTATATCTTTTATGAATTAACCCAAGGGGTTTTTATCCATAATGGCTGAACGATAGTTATCTGGAGGTTCGGAAAGGGGGAATTAAGGCAGTTGTTCGCCTTTTCTCCTCGCGAATGCACTTCACCCCTGAGTGAGTGCACTTTTCGCTGCTGTCACTCTTCCGGGAGTCATCCTGGAGTCACCGTGAACAAATCTAAAGAGAGAATAGCCCATGGCGATCCATACAGACGAGTGGGCTATGTTCATCCACATGGCCTTCCAGCTGCACTGGTGATTCCAGCGACTCCACGAAGTGCCTTAGCCAGGGAGCGTGAGTATTTCACCCCAACTTCTGTGATCAGCAGCCGCACTCAACGAGATCAGCGAGATCTCACCGAGAAGCTCGGTGTATCGGCTCTGAACCGCGGTGGATCGTCGTCCCTCTCAGGATTCGCGAGATTTCAAAATACAAAAACATAACTAGGAAAATACAATTACTGTAAATTTTCCCTCAACCATAAATCCGAAAATCAATCCCCTGAAATCCGAAATAAACCAGAAAGATAACTGAAACTAAAAGAGAACAAAACTTTAATATGACTTGAAGCGGAGATTTTACTTTTCACTCGTTTTTAATGTGTATCGACACGTGAATTTGATTATTACTAGAAATCGAACGTTGTTTTCCCCGCGAGGCTCTTCCTGATATTCTTGGAGACCGGTTTCTACGAGCTGGAGCTAAAAGGGGTGTTGCATCGCCCTTCGGTAGGGGTGCTAACTTTGGGGTTAAGGAAATCGCGACTCTTTCTCCGAAAAGGTCAAAATAAGTTCACACTTACCTACTCACTCTTACGATTTACTTAATTCTACGACGAAGTTGTATACAGGTGGCGGAATTCTCGAAAATTCCGTCACAGGCCTCCCTCCTTCTCGTTCCCTATCCGTTGTTGTCCGTGCATCTGGGGTAGAGGTGATAGTCTCTCGGTTGGTCTAGGCTCCACTAGCCGTGCAAACGTCTGATAGAGTGGAAGAGAAGAGAGAAGTGTGCTGGAAATAAAAGAGAAACCGAACCCACGCCCCTAAACCTGGGGTCGAAAGAAAATGTAGGCTACACGCTAATCTTCCTTTGGAAAATACGGAGCTCCTTTTATTCTCCTCTCTCAGGGAGGTACAGTTTACCCTATCCTAATTCTTATTGAATACTCTATGGTGCTTATGACTACGTCAGGTAGAGAGTCGCAGTCCATCTGGAAGCCTGAGGCATCAGTCGTGGCTTCTCCGAGGACTGGAACTCTATCACAGCTAGTACAGTCCATGGGGCTTTGACGGCTTGGGGTCTGGGCTTATTCCGTTCCGGAGAAAAGCTCTCTGGCTTTGAAAATGATGCTTGTGAGTTGGAGTCTCGCTGATTGAGGAGCGGTAGGGGTCCGCTGCGACTCAATCGGAGAGGTGAGGATTTTGGGGCCACTACTCAGTTGAGGGGCTCCCTTCGGAGTTGTTGGACTTACGGATGGGGAGAATCTGCCCCCTGGCCGGCCACTGCCTATGGGCACCTAGTGCCTTCTCGAGGACTCGTATCCTCGTCGCGGCGGAGACCGACGTGGTGAGCCTTGACGTTGACGACGGTCATCCTCATGACGACGGTGCTCGTGACGTCGCCGGTCCCCGTGGCGGTCATTACCTCTCTCTGGTCGATCGGGGGAGTAGTGATCTTCCTCCGAGCGTCGCCTTCGAGGCTCATCATCACGGGCACCTCCGGGGGGTGAACGTCGTCTCCTTGGTGAGCTGGATGGTCGGTCTTCCCTCATGTAGCTCTCTGTCAGCTGCTGAGTGAGGCCTTTCACGAGGCTTAGCATAGCCTCGGCGGAGGGGTTTGGTGAGCGCTTCTGCTCTGACTCAGTTGAGTGGTCAGAGGAGCGTCTTTGCCTGGGAGATCGTCGCCTCGACGGGGAATGCCTTCGCCTTGGCGAAGGATCTCGTCGAGGTCGTGGAGATGTTGGCCGAGTTCTCTGGGTCGGCCTCTCGGGGGATCGTCAACATGGGGATCGACGAGCCTGAGAGGGTTCCTGGCGAGGTCTCTCGGGTTTTGCCCTCCGTGAGGTATGCTGAGGGTCCTTGGATTGGGGAGCAGGGGCTATTCTCCATTCGCCTCCGAGGGGCGAGGGACTGCGGTTGGTGTGGGCCATGTGTCGGTACTGCAGCCTTCCCCTGCCTCTTCCTTTACTCAGGGCTGCACAATGCATGTCCCACTGAGGTTCAGGCATGGGTGGCAGAGGTTCTGCTGGGATTTTTGGGGGTGGTTGCATTACCTGAGGGGGTACCACCTGTGGGGGTGCTGCGTGTAGGGTAGGAGCACTCTGCCCAGTTGGTGCACCGGCCGCTGAGGCTGCGGTGGCTGCGGCTTGGCGTGCGATGGCTGCTTCGATTCACTTCTGCCTGCCTCCCGTCCTTGTGGGTCTCTTCCTCTTCTCTGGAGCTTTGGTGCTGGGTGTCTCCTCGTTGTCCCAGTCATCTAGGAGTGAGGAGTATAGAGGGTATAGGGGGTGAGGGCGATCTGGTCGGGTCGCCTGACTCTCCTTCCGGTGTGTCGCTCGAACCTCTCGCCACCTCATCTCTTCTACTTGATCGGCCCAGGAGGTGGAAAGCGGATGGTTAGGTGAGGGCCAGAGAGGTGGTACTACCACGGGGGCGGCTCTCTCAGCTGAGGGTCCTGTCGTGGCGGTCGTGGAGTCCACCAAGGTCCTGGGTCTCCTGATGGCTCCCGTGGACGCTGCGGGTCCCGGGTTTTGATGAGCTGGAGGTGCTACCGGCTTCGGGGGTGCCCCTCCATTACTCGACGCTCCGGTGAGTACCTCCAGCTGTCGGTCGTCCTCCGTCACGTCCATCAGGAGGAGGTCGGAGTTTGAGTCGACCTCTGGAGTCGAGGAGTTCGGGGGCTTGA